GTAACCAGTAATTAATTTCCTATCTTGAGTATCTTCCCCCCAATCTGCATCTACATACAAACATAAGTTTTGCCCTTTCCAAATCATCCTTTTTGTATATCAATTTTAAAGTTAAGGGAAGGTGTTTTTCAAGTACCTAAGAATTCTCTTTAGAGCACACCAGGCAACATCAGTAGGATGCTCCTGCAGTTGGCTTAAGCAATTAACTGCAAATAAAATACCTGGCCTTGTAATAAAAGCTAAGTAAAGTAAAGATTCAATTAATTCTTTGTATGGGCCATGAAATGCATTTCCTTTCTGAAAATCAGCTGCTGTAGATTTTGGTTCAATGGAAGTTTGGTCAGTTTTACAGTCAGACATTTTAAATTTATCAAGTAATTTTTCGATATATGGTTTCTGATCTAAATTTAAACAACTGGACTCGAACTTCAGTCTAATGCCTAAAAACTCCGAGACACTTTCAGATTTTGACATCTGAAATTCTTCAGGTAACAATGATAGGTACTATTCCGTTGTGAGGGCCGTAAAAAAATTGGGCTAATCTTTGGAATATGGTAACAGGTAGTTTGACGACATTTTGGTAAGGCAATAAAGGTTACTAGCTAGGACTTTAGCAGTGTACACGGATAAAGTCAAGAGTGTGTGCAATGCCATTTTTGTCGTGTAAATATGAGAGTGATTATGTGGCGGCATGTTAAAGGTGGTATGAAATTGGTATTTCTGCCGTTCGAAAAAGCATTAATTCATGGTAAGTGCATTTTATTTTATTCTTGTTCATATTTTTTAGAATGTTATGTTCACTGGTTCTTTAGTATGAATTTGTCGTTATTGTTTTTTGGCTGATCTTTAGAATATGGTAACTGGTAGTTAGGCGACATTTTGGAGGCGATAAAGGTTACTACCTGGGACTTTGTTAATGTGAGCAGTACGCAGTTCCGATTACGCATTATTTTGTGCGAGGGAAATGAGAGATCATGGGATATGTCATGTGATATTAATGGACGAATTACGGTTCTTTAATCGGAAAAGGGGAGAAATCGGGAAAAAATCTGGAAATTTTTATTGCGTTTAGCATTTTGGCTTTAGCTTCATAGTGTGTTGTGTGAAACAGTGTTCGTTAATTTTTGGATCCCATGGCCCTAACTAAAGTGAATTCGAAATGGGTATTTAGTGGGATTGAAAAGGGTAGTAATAAGTGTTTCTTTAAGGTTGTGCGAGATAGAAGTAAAGATGTTTTATTAAGTTATTTATTTTACTTGGTACCTTGGTGTGAACTATAAGTGTGATTTTAAAGATCCTGAAACAGAAATAAGAAAAGTTTATCGGACACGTAATCAAGATTCTGAAGAAGACTAGGTAAGTTAGTATTTTTAATTATTTGAGGATATTATTTTTATGCGTTGTTCTAAATGTAAGGTGGAAGTAAAGTAATTTGCGTAAACGTGCATGGAAATAATTTAAATATTTGACACTAAGTATTTGGTAACCATTTGTAATGTTTGCGGTATGAATTAGTTAGTGACGTTTGTAATATAATAGATGATGTAGAGTAAAGGTTTTTGGATATTTTATTTATTTTATACGAGGAAATGTTCATATTTGGAAAGGGTATATACTTTTTTCGCGATCAGGTAATTTCATATATGTTCTTTTTTACCGGGTTTAAAGATTCAGAAAATTGTTATATGCATTTTCTTTGAAATTTTTCTAATTTATGAGAAAAAAGCAGTGTACATGGATATAGTGAAGAGTGTGCGCAATGCCATTTTTGTGCAATTCTGGGATGTTTTTTTAAGTAAAAATAAGTCGACGTGTACATGGGTTAGTGATATTTTAATTAAATGATAGTTATTTTGTGAATTTTATGTTTGTAGGAATTTGGTATGCGTTTAAGTTGAAGTAAACGTGCATGGAAATAATTTAAATATTTGACTTTTATTTAAATATTTGTAATGCTTGCGGTATGAATTCGTTGGTGACATGTATAATATAACAGATGATTTAGAGGTAAAAGTTTTTGGATATTTTATTTATTTTATATGTGGAAATGTTCATATTTGGAAAGGGTATAAACTTTTTCGCGATCCGGTAATCTCATATATGTTCTTTTTACCGGGTTTAAAGATTCAGAAAATTGTTATGCATTTTCGTGAAAATTTTCTAATTTATGAGAAAAAAGCAGTGTACATGGATATAGTGAAGAGTGTGCGCAATGCCATTTTTGTGTAATTCTGGGATGTTTTTTTAAGTAAAAATAAGTCGGCGTGTACATGGTTTATGTGTATGTGTTATTTTGAAAAACGTGTAAGGAGTATGGTATTGTGCACTTTTTCCCAATTTTGCAGTGAATATTTGTCATGATTAAGCAGTTTTGTTAGATAAAATTTCTAGCATAAGTGTAAGTCGGCTAGTAGATTGTTGGAAGAAGTGTTCAGTAGATAAAAAGAAAAGAAAAATGTCTTGGGGAAAAAAAAATAGAGGGTTGCTGTAGGAGAGTTGGTCGCCAAATTTTCGCCAAAAAAACGCCAAGTTACCATAATGTAAAGATCAACCTGTTTTTTTTTAATTGTTTGAAATTTATTTTAGTTTATTTTGTTTAGTGTCTAGACTGTGCAATTCGTAGATGTTTTTTAAAGTTGAAACAGAATGCTGTGTACATGGTATTATTTGAAATTTATTGTTATGTTATTTTATTAAAGCGAGGTGTGTGTAGATTCGTTCCTTGCCTAAATTGTGCAATTTGTAGATTTTTTTTAAGCTTAAACAGGATGCTGGGGACATGGTATTCTTTGAAATTTATTATTGTTATGTTAATTTATTAAAGCGAGGTGTGCGTATTTCGTAGATTCGTTCGTTGCCTAAATTGTGCAATTCGTAGATTTTTTTAAAGTTAAAACATGTCATTGTGTATATGGATTCTTGTCAAATATTTTTGGTTAGAAACTTTACGTTTCTGCTATCTATATTTTTTGTTTTTGTTTCGGATTTTTAGCTTAAATCGTGTGTTCAAAACGTAGTTTTTGCACTTGCAAAAACCACGTTTTTGGAGACATTTTAGGCTTAAAGTTCGAAATGTAGACAAAAAATTTAGATAGTACCGTAATTTCCGGAAGAAAGGTCGCATCAGCGTAAACGCCGCACTCGAGAAAAATGGCAGGAAAAAAATTAAAATTACACAGAAACGCCGCAACAGATTAAATTGCGCGTGACATCGTCGTGGGCCGTATAGATGCAAAAACTCAACCTAAGTTCTGATATATGACATACCAGTTAAGAAAAATGCGTGAAATGAAACCATAACTCAAAAATAAATTAAAGGTAAGAAATGTATAGCTTTTGTGCCGTTTAGAGACATTTTCAAAAATTTTCTGCTCCCTAATTAAAAACTATCCAACAAGTACTTGTACCCAAACTGATGGGATCTGTATTTGGCAGAATGCCAAGAAAAATCCATTCATGCGGAAGGGAAATAAGTTAAGAGTTCGTTATTTCGAGGCAGGTGGAGTCGTGTCCGCCTTTGAAAAAAATTGCAGAAAAGGCAGGGGTGGGGAGATTCATCGAATGGCAGAGGAGAGAGACTATTCAAACTGATGAGAATGTTGATTTGAAAGGGGGAAGAATGTCATTGTTCTGAGATCTCGTTTAGGGTGAATAAGGCATGTAGGTCCGTTCAAGGGAAGAATGTAAACAAAATAACGTTCGCAAAAAGCAACTGAGTGGTCTTTTGTGTGGGAACAGCACCAGTCTATGCACAATGACAAGGCCATCCAAACTATGTACAATGACCATCATAGGAAATATTTTATTTTTTAGTGCACCTAAACGCCGCATGGGTAGAAACGCCGCACCCGCTGAAAATTTAAGTTTTAAACACGTAAACGCCGTGGCGTTTCTTCCGGAAATTACGGTATTATGGCAGCGTGAAGTTTCTCGCCAAAAATATTTGGCGACTTGAGGGCGCATACCAAAGTAGTTCCCGTTTTTCTTCTTCGTTACGTATATTTGTAATTAATTCATAGTATTATAAATAAACCATTATACTGCACTTAAATCTTTAGGAAGAGGCATTTTTATGTCTTAGTAATTTAAGCACTACAAGTTCCCTAACTCTTAAGTTTTTAAACTAATTACTCGGTCAAAATTTTAAGTACGTTATTTACTTTTTAGCAGCATACAGATAATTCACGTTTCGTGCTAACAAAATGCAATACAATTGTGAAGTTGAACAGGCAAAAAACTAGATCACAATTTTCAACATTGTGCTGATTGAGAAATTAATAGAAAAAGAAACTGAGTCTTAGAGTGATAAAATAAAACAAAATTAAAAATAGAAAATAGAAAATTATTAGCCTTCGATACAATGTTATTAAAAATCTTACCAATACAAAACTTTCAGTGTAGGTCCTGTGAGAGTTTTAAAACTCGTCTTGGGAATTTCTTTCACAAACGAAGCTTCATTGCCTGTAAACATTTCTCTGGCAGAAAATGCCAAAAAGAGGATAAATAAGCCTCCCATAAAAAATCGCCCATGTTCTGCCATTATATCAGCAATAATCTGACATTAAAAAACACATAAATAAAGCACACTGCGAAACTAATAATGCTGCACAAATTACAGAATTGCAAAACCAGTGTTCTATTGATATGTGTTGAGATGTTCAGAGCTGTGACGCAGAATATTATTTAATTAAAATTAAACAGAACTATTATCCCTGGAATTAAAACCCCACTTGCTAATGTGCTCATTTAAGCTGGAGCTTAAGGAAAGGGAAAATATTGTTTGTATAATAATCGTATTTCTAAAATTGCTATTCAGTGTTTTGAATAAGCAGAAGCAACAGCTAATAATTAAATTCGAATCTTATAACACTCCAGGTTTTATAATTGTTGTGTTTTATTAGAAGATGGGCAAAATTTAAAATTTTTGTTCTGAAGAGTGTTTTTGTCATGGAGTTAGATTCCTTTCTTTGGCCTTGGGTTTTGTATCCTAAGAGCTGAAACGAAAGGTTTTAGCTCACTGTCCCAAAGTAGTCTTAGTTCTAAATAACTGGCGTATTTTTTTCATTGGACTTTGTGAATTATTAAATTATTGGGTTCCATGCTTTAAGCACAAAAATAAAAGCACAAACAAAAATGATAAGTAGTACAGATGAGATTTTTCCTGTTAAAAACGGACTGAGCAGAATAATAATAATAAAAAAAATTATTTCAGGATCAGTAGCGTAAAGGCAAGAACGGACCTTGAAGTAAAGGGGGTTATAATAAAGATTTTTCCTCTTGTTAACGTTCCAATTAGTTTGTTGAAATTGTTTCAGTGCTGTATTTTAGGTAGAAGTTTATCAGCAATATTAAATGTGCATTTTCTGTATATGTAACTTTTTATATTCGTATAAATGAACTAGTTTATTTTCATTTATATCTTGAATATTTTGTAGGTTTTTTTTTTTTTTTTTAATTTTTTATTTCCTCCTGTTATTATTTTTATTTTAGAAAAGTTTTGTATAGTGTTACATAGCCATAAAATTAGCGATGAATTTCAATATTTTAGTATTTTGAGAGGAAATATTTGCGTTTTGTGTAAGTATAAGGTGATAAACAAACACAATGACGTACCTAGTTATTGGCGCGTAACTTTGCATAACCTCATTTCAGGTCCATTGTTCAATCTATCTTGAAAGAATTCAGATTGCTATTCACTTGAATGGTTAGTTTGTATTTGAAACATTTTTAGAAGCGCAGTAAAATTTTCTTGTCAATGCTTATGGTTTTGATTCCCCATTGATGCCCAAATTTAAATTCTCTTTGGCACAGTATTTTCACAGTTGAATGGTCGTTTTTAATATATTTTCAGCTTTAAGTTACTTTTATTTAATTGATAAAATATCAAGATAGTAGTTTTTAAGATAGCTTCATTTCATATCAGGAAATGATAATGCAATATTTTATTAACATTGACTGAGTACATAATATATATATATTTCATATATAAAAATGATACAAGGTAAAATAATGTTAAAAATTATCTTTGTAAACTATCGTATTTTTATTCAGTGAAGTTTGTTAGAAGTTTAGGAATTTTTATTTGCTGTTATCTTATATGATATGCATTTCCAAGTATATGATAGTTTGAATAAAATTCCTTTATTATTTTCCTCAGTTGTGCTTTGAAATGCATTTGGCAGACAAATTACAAATTTGGGTGCTTTTCAATTAAAGAGACATCAATTGGCATATGTGCATGTGTCACACATCTGCTGGTGTCTCTTTAACAAAAAAAGGACCTAAATTTTCTGTAATTGTTTTTATCTGTTGTCTTAATATGCAATAGAATTGCTATATATTTCAGTAATATTATCTGAGTTCAAAATGGAAGAGGATAATTGAATTTCATGTTGAATATAAAAAATGTGACTTTGTTTTTTTAAATTTTATTTTAATATGCTGGAGAACCTTGCTAAGAAATTTTGGTACTTACTCATTAAAGCAGGTCACATTTTTTTGGTGATTATTTTGGCAACAAAACAGACATCCTCACTACCATTTGCATTTTTTGTTTTCTATATTGTATCTATGCTGGCACCTACAGTTAATGTGAAAATAAAATATTCTAGGTTAAGATGCTGAAACAATGTTTAACACATTGCTTTTACTTATATTTAAATGTGGTTTCAATGTGTCAACCTTTGTAACTACTTACTTGTTTGTAACTACTTGTTACAAAGGTTTGTGATCATTGAGCATCATTTTTGCATATGATTTTTTATGCAACATCTCATTTAAAAGTTTAATAATGATGATGAACAGATGTAAATACAGTTTAAATGAATTGCTGTGGGCAGAAATCAGAAGAGTTTCATAATCTACTTACTTAAAAAAAGTTGCCGAAATTACAATTGGAAGGATTTAAATTTAGTCAAGGCTAACAGAGCAGTAGAAGGGGTTATTGCCAGAAATCTGGTCTTCATGTTAAGACTTGGGTACAGGAAATAGATATCCTTTATGACTGCTTTGCAGTTTATCTGTAGCTAGTGTTCGAAAGGATATCTATAAAACGTTGTAAACGAGATTGATAGATCATTAGAAATGATGATACTCTTCTGTTATCGCGATCGGATTCAGAAATGTATGCATGCATGTATATGTTCATTTACGTATGTATAAACTCTCATATATGCACATGCCCACCAGCAGCCGAGCGGTAACGTTGCTGAACACTGGTAGTTCGGTCCGAGGTTTAAATCCCGTGAACGGGCTGGCTGCATGGGCGTTTTCGTGATTTTCCCCATGTGTAACATGTATACGAGCCAGTTTCCCTTAGAAAGTCCTCCACAAAGGCAGATAGCCCTCGAGTGCTTTGCCGTAATCTAATAAAACCAAACCATATATGCATAAATGTACATGGGCATACATACATACATACATACACATCTGATCTTGGTAACAGAAGAGTACTGAAATAACAATTTATTAGTGTCATTATCTACATGAAATTTAGAAAAAAAGCATTGAAAATGGAGAAAAGTGCAAATGGTGGCAAGAATGCTGTTTTGTTGCCGAAAATATCAAGGAAATTTTACTGACAATAATTGATAAAGTACCAAAATTTTTCAAGTGCCAGAGGGATACAAATTAAATGTAGGCTAATTTAGTGAACAGCTTAAAAGCTACCAAGAACATCAAAAGAAACAAGCTGGAAACTCATTATATTGGGTTGCCTAGAAACAACTTTCGGGATTTTTAACTGAAGGCAATTTTTCATGTAATGAAATACAGTAGAAGTCCAGAAATCCAGGATAGAAAAGATTTAATATTCAGGCTAAAAGTGTAAAATAAATAAGACATATTAGATACATTTAATTAAATTATTATATACATTAATTTATTATATGCATTACATTATCATTGTATATTTATTATATTATTCATTTATATTAGTGATTACATGGATATTTAAAAGCATTAAGAACACATACAATAAAGACATATAAAAATAAGGGATATTAATAAAGCATAAACTATTTTTTTTTTTTTTTTTATTACATATTCTCAAACATTTTTCTGGTAGAGGTTTGTTTTAAAACTTTAAGGTGCTCCAGAGTAAGTATTTTGTTTTTGTAAATTATATAGAGGCTTAATATCTTATTACACCTCCGTTTAAAAAATTTTAGGTATTTTTTACCATGTTCTAAACCCTTATTAAAAGATATTTTCTCACTTATAATCAAAATTTCTGTGTCCGTGTCAGAATCATTTTCTTGCTGTGCTGAGTTCTAAACAGAGCCAACGATTTCATTATTGGCCATTTGATATGCCAGTGTTGGCTCATATGTGCTGTTATTTTACACCTCCGAATGTTGCAAGGTGCAATGATTAATGTGGTTTCTTTCTTTTAAAGTTATACCTTGTGAAAAATGGCGTAAAAGGAAACCATCATTAGCGCATATACAGTACAAAGTCCGAAATCCAGATTCCTCATGACATGGGTGATTCTGGATATTAGATCAGCAGTTTAAATCTAGTAAAATGGCATATAGAAATTATAAAATTAAAAATATGAAATCATGATTTATGAAATAATGAAGTATTTATGATCTAAAGGGTATCAAAATTTACAAAAAAAAGCTTAATATTTATTTGTTTACCTTATTAAACATTTTTTTAATGTAAGTTGTTTAAGTTACTTCGTTTTTTTTTTTTTTTTTTTTTTTTTTTTTTTTTTTTTTTTTTTTTTTTTTTTTTTTTTTTTTTTTTTGTGCTAATACTTTCTTTTTAATTCTATTGACAGTCATAATCTCTTGTTTAGTTACATTGTTAAAGTCCTGTAGCTGCTGTGTTGAGAATTCCGACTAAATCGAAATTTTTTCATTTTCAGTAATTTCTTTTTCACTATCAGTAGCAGTATTTCCTGGATCTAGAACCATACCACAGATTTCACCATTCATTAATTGATTGATGATTGAGAAGCATTATCATCACTATGGAAAACTTTTTTTATATCATCTTCATTTATTACCTCTTCTCCACATTTCTTTACAAAATTCGTTAATTGGAAAATTTCACCTTTGTTTTGTGATAGCTGTAAACCTTTAAAATTGGTGGCTATCATCATGAAATTTAGCTATTGTTCATTATACATATTTGGCTATGCATCATGAGCTTGGCGACTAACGACAAATTGTTCCATTAAATTTTATCTCGCTTCTATTGGGCACTGTGACAATTAAGCCTGAATTGTATTAGTTTAGTTATTTATTATGCTTATGTCTATTTCTTGCACATGCTGAAGGCTTATCAGATTTCTGAATATATGAATTCCAACATATACATAAGCCTTATTGAGGGCCAGCGCTAAATATCTTACCGCCTGATGCTGTCTCTTGGGGTCCTAAATTATCGACCCGGTGTGGCTGTACGAGCCTTGGCGCTAGTGTTTATGTGAATAATAAATCGGTTAATTCTTAATTCAAATAGTCCTAAATGTAATCTTTGGTTCTATGAGTATCATCAACAAAATCTATTTTTAGCATACGAAAAGAAATTTTTCGTTGTCAACATTTTTTAGCTCATTTAACTTAAACCTCTAATTATCGCCAAGGCGTAATGTCAATGTAAAAGGATACCATACTCCTTTTTTATCCAATTACTAACACAGAAAAATTGTTTAGGCATCGATACATGAGTCATTACTCAAGTTTAGTTCATTCTTCAATATTATTCCTGAGATAATAATATAACATTAGTTCATTCTCAGCACAGTCAGAGCAAGCAGCAGATCCAACAGCATATTATGAAACTTGTTCGGGTTCCAATAAGGAAAAATGGGAACAAGCCATGCAAGAAGAGATTAATGCTTTAAGGACGAATGGCACATGGATTTTTGACAAATGCACCTGAAAGGAGGACCATTATAGGCTGCAAATGGGTATGCAAGTACAAACAAGATTGCGAAGGAAAAGTATTTTGTTATAAAGGTCAACTGGTTGCTCAAGGATACCAGCAGAAATATGGTCATGACTGTAATGAAGTATTTGCTCCGGTAGCCAAGCCAACTACTTTGAGAATGCTTATCATAACAGGAAAAAGAAAAATATCAATAAGAAATTATGATAACCTATCAGCATACTAAAATACAGATTTATCTCATGATATATACATGAAACAACCTCCGAGATTTGAAGAAGGTAATAAAGTTTGTAAACATATAGGGAACTTATATGAACTCAAGCAAAGGGCGAATGAATGGAACAGAAAACTTAATGAATATATATTCACATGTTATATATATATATATAACATGTGAATTCATTAAACTGATATTTATCATGACA